TCAATGACCAGGACCTAGATCTAACTAAAGTACTCAAGGGTTTGATCCGTGAACACCGATAAAATTACACTTAGACCCTATCAGTGGCACAGGTACACTAAGCTTTACACTTAAGAAGTAGAGTAAGAGGTAAGAAGAGAGGTGGACGCCCACGTCCGACCAAGTCAGATGTTGCTGCGGAAGTGATGCAGCAAGTGAGCCACACTGTGGCTTGCTGCCTGCGTGATCAGCTGATCATACAGTAATCATACTTGAAACTCTAACACAATATTAAATTGCCACTATAAGTTTTAAGAATAACTATAACATCCTAGTTTACAATACACTAACAAATTTTATCACAGAGCCACTACAAAACTAGGGGCATCAAAATGCTCTTACGTCTGGCAAGGAAGTGATCGCCCGCCATTTGCAAAATGAGGATCAGTCCTCTGTAGGATTACAGGTTCCGGAAAATGAGAGGAAATGTCAACACTGGAGAAATGCCCGACAGACCACTGGAACATTGAAATTGAAATTGAAATTGAAATAAGTTTATTGAGGTAAAATACACACAAAGGGATGAGGTAGCTCAAGCTATTCTCACCCCGTTCAGTACAACGTGTTAGTACATACATAGACACACATCACAAACAATAAACCTGTTACCAAACATTCTGAGAGATAAACATGTACATTTCCTCCTTCACAAGTAGTATGGTATCAGACGTACACACAAATACTTTTATGACCTAGTTATACTGTATAGACAATTTGCAAGAGACATGCAGATAATTCAACAAAATATTACAGTCTTAGTGCAAAATTCTTATATCTCTCAAGAATATCATCAACCTTTCCTTTGTGACACATCCAGGCTATTTGCTCAGGAACAGTCCTTTTCTCAGTGTTTCTATATACATTAATCAACGGACAATCAAGAACATAATGGGCAAGGGTGTGAGACCTTAACATACCACATAGATTACACTTCGTGTCATTATCATGAACACCTATCCCATATTCCCAGTAATATTTGTACCCAAGCCTGAGCCGCATGTACACAGAGTCACTCCAAGCATTTCTCCTTTTACCATAAGTGAAATGGGTGTTTTGACTCACATACATGTAGTGTTGCATGGTTAGACTTCTCTCATACATTATCCCTCTCCTCTCCACTCCTGCCTGTGCCTGAATATTTCTGATTTTGCTTCTTATTTGTCTCATTGTGAATTCACATTCAATGTCAACTTGTGATTTTGATGTGGCACGTTTGGCCAAGTCATCCGCCACCTCGTTGAGCACTATTCCAACATGAGATGGAATCCACATGAATTTCACACTATGACCTTTCAGCTGTATCTCAGTTATTCTTCTCTTACAATCCTCAACTATAGACATGAAGACTGGGTTTCGACTGTTTAAGGACTCCAGTGCTCCTCGGCTATCGACAAATACAAAAACATTTTTGTCGTCATGACGTACTTCCTCCAAACACGCCAGAATGGCCTGCAGTTCAGCTTGTGTGGATGATATATAATTACTAAGCCGGAGTTCAATTATCCTGTCCACAGTCCCAAACTCCGTATATTCCCTTATTAGGACACCACACCCTGCCCTGCCATCCTCCGCCACCGACCCGTCGCAATATACATGTAAACTGTTGCCTCTTGGTAACCGAGATATTATGCTTCCATACAAACACCGTAATTGTCCCGGTTCATGATGAATCTTTTTCACCTTGAGGGGTACAATTTCGACGTCTATTTTCTGTACTTTCCAGGGAGCAGACATATTACACTGTCGAGAGGGTTTACAGCAGTCAAGTACATCGTATTCCCTGAGGTCATGAGCTAATCCCTTCGTGTAGCGTGTCTCCCTCAGTTTCCTGGAAGTGTGTACATCACTCAAGCAGGTCTGAACGCTCTCAAACAGCTTATCCCCTCCTTTTCTCCGCATGAAACGAATAGCTACTCTTGTGTTAATGTCACGGACTCTATCACACACACTCTGTAAATTTAATTCCATTCTCATTATTTCAATCATTGCATTTCTTTGACATCCAAGAATAATCCTCATAGCCTCGTTCTGTATCAGCTCTATTTTTTGAATTCTGCCTTGGCCAGTGTAAGACAAAACGGGTGCTGCGTAGTCTATCAGGGACCGAACAGTGTTTATGTATAACATCCGTAAGATAGGTACCCCAACACCTTTACCAGAAAAAGCCAGTGCCTTTAGAGGATGCAGACGGGCTTTACATAAGGTGCTGATATGATTTATTTCAGCATTTTTACTCTCACATGTGTATCCAACATACATGCCCAGATACTTGTACTTCTGAACACGGCTCAGTTCCACACCATTTAGAGTAAGTGTTATATTTCTTCGTTTCCTATTCTCATATTTGGTTTTATCTGCATTTATAACTAAGCCTAACTTGTGACAGGTTGTACCAAGTATGTTAAGAGCAGTTTGATCTAACACAGTGCACAGTTACAAACCCATTAAGATTTCAACTTAGATTCAACAGAGCAGAAGAAGTTGTTAAACACATATGGCAAAATCTTACTGAAGCGACCATACGAGTAATAAATACTCATACTCCGCCCAAGTAAAACAGAAACAAGCAACACTTAGTGGGCCAGCCAGAGGCTTAGGGCCCGCGCAGGAATATCCCTGCAAACAAAAAAAAAGTCCTTTGTATAACTGAGGACCAGAACCCTCCTTCTTTATTCCAAACCCATCTAAAATCCCTATCATTCTAATAACACTAATCCCACACATAATCTAACACATTCAGGTCTTATCACTAAAATTTGTATATTTAAACAAATGCAATGCGATCCTGGGTCCATTTGCCAGAGTGCAATATTTGACCCAGAGTCGTAACAATGAGTACTGGGTAATCACTGGTACTGGGTGTGTACTGGGTGTGAGAGTCCTGCCCATGTTGTGACTTTGTCATTGGGTGTGTATATCTACTGTGACGGTGTCCCACCCTACATCTTTCCTATCCCGGCATTAAGAATCATATCTGCAACTCACACGTTTTCTGATGCTCAGGGAACATTTTGATGTATATAAAGATATTGAGAGTTATCGTGTGGGAAGTAAATTTGCTGATTTATTTGTTTTGGTTTTACAAGTGGCTTTACGCCCTTTTGTGTTACAAGATGGCGCCGAGGCAAGAAGCTTCCCGCCAAAGGAGCCTGACGCCAGCCGTCTGGTGATTGGCCAGGTAAGGTCACGTGACGGGATTGACCAATGGCGCGGCGCCCTCGGATGGTGTGACGTCCCAAGGTGGAGGCCTCCAGGCGGCCCCGTGTCCTGCGGCGCTCAGTGAGTCACGGCCTGTCACTGAGAGTGGACATGCTGAAGTGAGCTCCCGGTTTGGAGGCGAGGAAGCCCCAGCCAGTGGACCTATGCAGACGTCGTGGAAGATTAGCTGACTCCTGGGGAGTACATGGAGGGCAAGTCTAGGTTGGTGTTAAAGCGCCAAGCGCTCTGTTGCTGATAGTCTATTACTATCAGTGTGGTAGGATTTGCCTATGTGCCAGTTTACTTATATATACATGAGTTAATATATGTGTGTGTGTGGGGTGTAGGGACATTTTGTGACAACTAGAAGAAGTTGCTGGTTTCAAGAGGCCAGTAGTGAAGCATATAAAATCGTCCAGCTGATTGTGTTACCAGAGGCAGAGTGAGGAGCGTTGCCGCCGTCTGACAGTTCTACATATATTATTTACCATGCGGATCAAATGTAGTTTTCTTCAGTAAACTTATCATCGATTTTACCATGGTGTTTGAGTGAGCCTTCCATCTCTAGCGCGAGTTGAATGAATTGTTTATATTGCACTGCATTATATCTGGCATTGAGTCCTTGGCATATGATAATTAACAAGACCACTGAGAAGTGTTGCTGGGACGCGAGTTCAGGCATCCAGCTGGCGACCTTGATTGAGAGGGTAAAGTGGTAAGAATTCACCGGTGTATTTTCCCAGTGTTATGATGAGTAAATTCAACCGAGAGTAACAGAGGTAAGGTTGGATTTCCCCACTCTCAAGGCCGGGGCATAGGTAGTGTCTCAGCCCTTGGTAGACTGGGGGGGTTCTCAGGGCGAGCACCCAGGTACAGGGAAGCAAAGACCCGCGGGAATAAGCCTAACTATATAAGGAAAAAGGAACCGTGACACTATGTTGTTGTGACTGTCATTGGGTGTGTATATCTACGTTGTGACTTTGTTAATGGGTGTCTATGTTTATGTTGTGACTTTGTCAATGGGTGTGTATGTTTATGTTGTGACTTTGTCATTGGGTATTCAGTTTACGAAAGTCAAGCTTCGTCTTTCCACGTTAAGAGAGGTGGTCCAAGCTTAGAACACAGTGAGTCCCAATACACCCTCGGACTCTAGAGGTGAGTGAAGGTGGGGTAACCCTAGAGGTGAGTGAGGGTGTGGTAGCTCTAGAGGTGAGTGAGGGTGGGGTAGCTCTAGAGGTGAGTGAGGGTGTGGTAGCTCTAGAGGTGAGTGAGTGAGGGGGTAACTCTAGAGGTGAGTGTGGGAGGGATAACCCAAGAGGTGAGTGAGGGTGTGGTAGCTCTAGAGGTGAGTGAGTGAGGGGGTAACTCTAGAGGTGAGTGTGGGAGGGATAACCCAAGAGGTGAGTGTGGGAGTGGTAACTCTAGAGGTGAGTGATGGTGGGGGTTGCTATAAACACTAAGATGAGTGAGGATGCCACACTAACGGATCTGAGTCAGTGAGTGTCATTTGTCCCCTGTTCCATTTCATACCTTCTTAACTTCATTCATTGTGGTACAGAATTTAGTGATACGTTGCCTAGAATTTTTTTTTAATGTGTGATCAAATAAATCTAACACTTGTGATTTTCAAAGATTTCTTTAATGTATGTATATCCAAGTAGTTATTTTTTTATAATATATTCCAGATGGATATATTCATTATTTTCCTTATTTCAATATTCTGATCAATAAAACAAAGTCCTAAGCACTTCGCTCAAGCTACACTACAGAGTAAAATAAATTGTTGTATATATAACGGGATAGTCACGAAGACAAAGTGTGATTTTGATTTTTGACAGGCGTGGACAATTGCCAGATACAGCCTCGCACTGCGTCTCCACCAGACGTTGACAATTGCCAGATGCAGCCTCGCACTGCGTCTCCACCAGGCGTTGACAAGTGCCAGATGCAGCCTCGCACTGCGTCTCCACCAGACGTTGACAAGTGCCAGATGCATCCTCGCACTGCGTCTCCACCAGACGTTGGCAATTGCCAGAAGCAGCCTCGCACTGCGTCTCCACCAGACGTTGACAATTGCCAGATGCAGCCTCGCACTGCGTCTCCACCAGGCGTTGACAATTGCCAGATGCAGCCTCGCACTGCGTCTCCACCAGACGTTGACAAGGGCCAGATGCATCCTCGCACTGCGTCTCCACCAGGCGTTGACAATTGCCAGATGCAGCCTCGCACTGCGTCTCCACCAGACGTTGACAATTGCCAGATGCAGCCTCGCACTGCGTCTCCACCAGGCGTTGACAAGTGCCAGATGCAGCCTCGCACTGCGTCTCCACCAGACGTTGACAAGTGCCAGATGCATCCTCGCACTGCGTCTCCACCAGGCGTTGACAAGTGCCAGATGCAGCCTCGCAATGCGTCTCCACCAGACGTTGACAATTGCCAGATGCAGCCTCGCACTGCGTCTCCACCAGGCGTTGACAAGTGCCAGATGCAGCCTCGCACTGCGTCTCCACCAGGCGTTGACAAGTGCCAGATGCAGCCTCGCACTGCGTCTCCACCAGACGTTGACAAGGGCCAGATGCATCCTCGCACTGCGTCTCCACCAGACGTTGACAAGGGCCAGATGCAGCTTCGCACTGCGTCTCCACCAGGCATTGACAAGGGCCAGATGCATCCTCGCACTGCGTCTCCACCAGGCGTTGACAAGTGCCAGATGCAGCCTCGCACTGCAACTCCACCAGACGTTGACAAGTGCCAGATGCAGCCTCGCACTGCATCTCCACCTACTAAAAAGATATATATTCGCTTATTTTCCTGTTTTGCTTAAATTCTGCTTACAAATTATTCTATATTGAATCATTTGGGGGGGGGGGGATTTTTTTATTATTTGTCCATAAGCAGGTATTACCATTCGGAAAAGTCGTCCTCAAGTATTTATTTACACGTAGCCGTAGACTTATAGTTGGCCAGGCTGCTTTGGACACCAGTTGACCTTGTTTAGTGAAGGCTCAGGCACAACCAGGTCGTCCAGTCTGGTGGCTACTGACTCACTAACGACAGTTGTCTGCCCCTTCATGCCTCTAACCTGCCTGCCGTCGTACCGGCAGAATGGTGAGGAGTTTTCAGTTGATATATATATATATATATATATATATATATATATATATATATATATATATATATATATATATATATATATATATATATATATATATATATATATATATATATATATATATATATATATATATATATATATATATATATATATATATATATATATATATATATATATATATGCGAACAAGCCTGAATGGTCCCCAGGACTATATGCAACAGGGGTGTGAGTTTTCAGTTATAAATATATATATATATATATATATATATATATATATATATATATATATATATATATATATATATATATATATATATGTTGTTGGGGTTTCTCCTCTCTATTATTCTCTACCCTTACTCTGGGGTGAGCAATAGTTATGCTCAAGGTAACTCACCGTAGCCCTGCGGGTCTTCCCTCGATCCTCACGGCGCCACTGCACGCCAGGAGAGTCTCCCAGTCAATCTTAACGGCCTCTTATTAAGAAAGAGTGAGAACACGACTCGATCACATCGACCGTCGTGTGCCCTCCCCAACAATAGGGCTCTACGGTTATTCACAAGATCGCCAACTGGTGTTTAAGGTGGCCAGTAACACCCTCAGTGGACTGGTGTATTCAGTGGTAGCCTTGGCAAGGTCACACTCAAAGATCAGGAATCAGGCAGGTACTTATTGTTATCACTCTATGTTTACCAGTATAATATAGCCACAAGATCAATGGAGGGAATGATAAAAACACTAAGATAGTTTTGTATTTTACTTAAAATGTATGAAAGATGTCACAAAGCCAAACAATAATCAATAAATCAACTGATCCTGACTCGGCCGGTAATTCCCACGGATATTATGCGACCGCTAGAGGGCAACACTCTCCCCTCCTCATCAAGTGTCAAGAACAGCTGATCGCAATGGACTCTCCGCGCGAAATTTGCTTGTTTGCTAGATTCACGCGCTCGGTTTCTTTAAATTCTCCAATATTACTAGAAACTCGCACACTCGATATTGGCACAAATAAACCGAATTACTTAGTTACACTGTACTCAGGCTCAAACAGTCTTTTCTACAATCAATTCTACAATGATTCACTGTAATGGTCTTACACTGTTATTTATCCAACAATATATAATGAAATATTAACACGGGAGTTTTCAGTACTTTCTCTCGTGGGCGATAACGCAATGATTCACTGTACTCACAAATGATTATTCACTGAATGAACATAGACATATATATGGTATATAAATCAATCATCAATACATGGAAAATAAATAGTTTCTGGGCACATAGCCTAATCTCCAAATACCGGCATAATATTATATATAATTTACCACTATATGTTCATATCAAAATCTATAGAAAGATATACACAACACAGTAAATTTATCACTGGTTCCTGGTGCCTGTACACACCAATAATCAACATGAATATTACAAGTACTCTTGATAGTACTGTCTAGCACACTGGTGCTTTATCGTGACATGGGTGAGACTTGCTCACGACATATAAAATCTTCAGGCTTGATAACATAGCCAAATAATATAGCTAACTAAAGGGGAATGGGGAGGGAACTAGAACCACCTACTTCACCCTATCCTCCGATGAGAGTCGAGATGTAGCTCCTGGTCCTCGTGTCGGGAACGCCCCCACACTACACGTCGTCGTGTCCTACCAGAGCCTCTCGTCGTCCCACCGTTTAGCGCGTCGTCTCCGTGCCTCCTCACTGCAGGTCCGTCCTCCTCCTTGACTTCTTGAAGGTTGGAGTCGGTCTCCTGGCCGTCGTCTTCTCCCAGCAACGGCTGTCGCCTACGTCTCAGCTACAGTCGTTCGGTTTCCCCAAATAGTCCTCTCTTCCTCAGCTACCCAGTGGCTCTGTCAGCCACTACGCTGTCACGAACTGGTGAATTGCCACAGACGTCAACATACGTCACTGCACGGCTTCACTGCTACTGGCACAGTACCTGACTGGAGCACTTGTTGCTCAAATAACCGTCAATTCCCTCTTCTGGTTCAACACATGAACTAGGGAAGACTTCTCAGAGTACTGGCGGACTTCAGGTGACGCGTAAATCCACGGTAGTGGGAAACAGCTGTCCGACAGACAGGACCACTCGTCGCACGTCCGACCTGTATGACGTGTCGTGTCTGACTGCTGGCGCCAGCCCGGCGCGCTGGCCGGACCCCCTTCCTTCGTGACGTCACTTTCGCCACGGGAGGTTTTCATTGGCTCCCGGTGCCACATTGCTGTCGGTGACCAATCCGGTGCCACTGACGTCACACGGTTTTGGCGGGAGATCAGGGAAGCCAGCGCCATCTTGGCTCCCTAAAGGGCCTAAACCACAGGCCAAAATATTACTATTTCACAAATTTCTCGGCTCTCCGAGAACACTTCACTCTCTCCCATATATCAAATTGTAGCCTGCAACGTAGAGAACGCTTGGGAAAAGCAGACATGACTCTTACTGCAGGCGTGGGAGAATTATAAGGGGGGAACTCCGTCACATACCCCTCCCCTTAAAATAAGAGTCATGTCTCGTTAGTGTATGCGGGATAGGGCGTCCGCTACTACGTCGTCCTTCCCCTTGATGGGCTTGACCTTGATCCTTGTCAGACTCTCAGTGCGGGTGAGACTGGTGCCGTCCGCCCTGGACCACTTACTTTCCTCCTCCGGAAGTTCTCGGTCCCTCGGTACACTCAGACCCGTCTTCCGCTGGGTTTCTCGGGTATTCGTTCTGTCCTGCTTGGCGGCTCTTCCTTCTACAGTGAAGAAAGGTCTTAGGCGGTCTGCGGGACACACCTGTTTCTTCCGGGGTCCATCCGGCTTCCCAATCTCGTACGACACTGGACCCAACCGTCGCAGCACTCGGTATGGTCTCTTGAACCGCGACCTGGTCACTCTACCTCTACCTGGCAGCACAACCAATACTTTGGATCCGGCCTGAAAATTCCTCTGCGCAGCTCTCCTGTCGTACCACTTCGACATCTTACGTTGCGCCTTCTTCAGGAGCTTCCTAGCCAGTTTCTTCGCTCGAGTGAGACGTTCTCTGAACTTCTGGACATATTTATTCACCGTTCCCACGGTTGCTCCTGGCGTCCATCGTTCCCTCATCATAGATAGCACGGCATATATAATATAGATAAATGGAAAGTAAGCCTTCTCAGGACCCACACGTCCTCCTTCGGCCTTACTAACCAATTCGGGGAACCCCTCCTGTTGTAACTCTCCGAGACGAGCGCGGTTTACCCCTAGAGAACTGGCGAGTGTCACCTGCAACTCACCATTTGGGCTATCTTCGCCCTCCGCTCGTTCTCCGGGTTCCACGAAGAGGCGATCTATTCTCAGGCTGTCAGTTGTCTCCTCAGCCCCATCAGATCCACAACCTCCTTGTTCTTCGCGTCGTCTTGGCATCACAGCACAAACTGGGAACGCCACTGGTGCGATTCCCCTCTCGTCCCCACAGACGTTCAACTCTCCGCCTGTCTTCCTGTATTGTTCTATGTACTCTTCGCCTTTCACGAGATGCGGGAGGACGTATCCTCCACATGCGTCATTCCCCAAGATGACCTGTGCCTCCATCTTGGGCATTGATGTACAGACTCCCACCTCTAGGGTTTGGCAGCCATAATCGGAATTTAAAGTTACCTGGTGTAGGGGCATCCTCACTGGGCCTCCCACAGTGGCCACCCGTGCCACCCCCACACTGGTACTTTCGTAACCCTCGGGGAACAGGGTTTCACTTACCAGGGTAAAGTCAGCCCCGGTGTCTCTTAGCATCTTCACTGGGATGGGGTCTGCGACCCCCATCCTTACGGTTCCTTGACACATGAATGGGTGATCTTTCTTCTCCCCATTCAGTACGGGTTCATCCCGCACTCCCTCGGCCCTCTGGTCCTCGAACATCACTAAAGCAACGTGTCCCCGCTGCTTTGGGCGTCTGCATTCCCGCGCGACGTGTCCGGGTATTCCGCAGTTGTAGCAGCGGCCCCTCGGCGGAGACCATCCGCCACCGCTCGTCTTAGCACTGCCTCCAGAGACCGTCACACCCTGTGTCTTTCCCGCCTCACTTGTCGTTTCTTTCCCTGCAGTCACAGTTCCCGAGCTCTCAGCTTGGCTCTCCTCTATCGGCGCTACAGCACCTTTTGATCCTCGGGTGTTCCAACTTGAGAGATGGGACTTGGGAGAACTCGTTCCTGTCCTCCATCCATCCGTCCTTCTATAACTCCTATCGTTTCCGACGTATGCGGGTGGTCGGTTCTGTCCCTCTCGGCGTGGGCGTAGGGCTTCTTCTAGCATGTCGGCCCGGTCGGCTGCGGCCCTCAGGTCCTTTATGTCCGCCTCCTTTACCCTCATCCTGATCTCAGGAGAGAGCACGGACATAAACTTTTCCATGGCCATTAGTTCCTTGACCTCTTCGACCGACCTTGCTTCTTCAGAGTCCAGCCACTTAAGGAGTTTTCTTTCAATGTCCCTCGCCGTCTCCGCATACGATTTTCCTGGCAACCGGGTACATTCTCTAAACCTCTTTCTGTAACACTCTGGCGTGAGCTTAAAGGAACGGAGCACAGCTCGTTTTACCGCATCGTAGTTAGTGCATTCTTGGAAGTCGAGCATAGTGAAGGCTTGGCGAGCTTCCCCTGTGAGCCTTCCTTGGACCAACTCCGCC